TATATATATATATACACATAGACAGAGAGAGAGAGAGAGAGAGAGAGGGAGAGAGAGACAGAGAGAGAGAGAGAGAGAATGTGGGTGTGTGATAGACCGAACGCTCATGGATACCAAGGATCGAGAAACTGGAGGAGCAATTGGCCAAGACCTCTGACAAGGCAGCGCCGCTGACATCAGAGGACTTCTCGGTTTAGGGTTTTCGGTTGAGGGTTTGGAGGTTAGGGTTTGGGGTTTAGGGTTTAGGGTTTAGGGAGGGTTTGGGGTTTGCATAAGGCTAAGGTTTTGGATTTTCAGCCTCCAAAAACCCTGACGCGCTGCACACTCATATAGAGCCCTGTATATAGACTCTGTACCGAACCCTTGCAGAGCCTTTATAGAACCGTACCCTAAGCCCTCAACCCTCCAGCCTCATAGCGTCGCAGGACAACGGCATGACCGGCGTAGTCTTCCTCTCTCACGCAGTAGACAGCCTGCAGCTCGCCTGGAGCTGTTCTTGTTTTTTGATGGGCTTGGGGATTAGTTTTGAGGTTCAGGGTTTAGGTTTGTTTAGGTTTTGGCTTAAGGCTTAGGGTTTACAGTAGGGTTCGAGGGGTAGCGGGAGCAGCGTTTGTGGTGGTAGCGTCCGGATAGGAGGGGTGGTAATCTGAAGCTAGAAGGATGCCGCCGTACAGGTAGGGTTTAGGGTTGATGGTTTGGGGTTTAGGGTTCAAGGGCTTAGGGATATAAATCCTGCATTACCCTAAGGACCCTAAACTATGGGAATTATAGTATGTTCATTATTATGGGTAATGCAAGATGTATACCATCAACCGTATGCGACCACAGTTTCATGTAGTAAAGCAGGCCTTCATCTGCTTGGTAGCACGAGCACCTGCGACGAAGCTTTTGTCCTGGACATTCATTATCAACATTGCCCTGAACTCTAAACCCTAAGCCCTGTACCCTAAACCCTAAGCCCTAAACCCTAAACCCTAAACCCTAAACCCTAAACCCTAAACCCTAAGCCCATTATACGCCCTGTAGCCCGAAACCCGGTCCTGAACCTAAACCCAGAGGCTCCATATAGACTACCATTATGGAACTGGGCCCCAAAAGACCATCCTTATTATGGTTTTGGGGAGCCTAATTACATAATAGTAGTGCATATGGAGAACGACCAACACATAGATGAACGTGAAGCCCTAAAGCTTAAATCCTACCCTCGACTCTGAAGTTGGTTCAGGGTTTAGTTTTTAGGCTTTAGGGTTTATTTCGGGTTTAGGGTTTAGGGTTTAGGGGTTCTCTGGTGTTGGTTTAGGGTTCAGGCTTCTGAACCCCTGAATCCCAAGCCCAGAAGGATAGAAACCCAGGCGACAGCTGATGAAGAAGTCTTCGAAGACTCCCAAGGACCGATTCTTTGCGGGATTGTGGTTGCTCGGAGCCATGAGTAGCTAGGCGACGGTTTAGGGTTTAGGGGCGAGTGTTTCAAAACTCTGGTGTCTTGCTTATGTTTTAAACGTACATGGGTATTTTTCTAAATCAGGGTCTCTTCTAGGGTGCTTTTGACAAGGGTGCCGTAGTGTTTTGGGACCTAGAAAGGGACCGTCATGTAGAACGACCCACATACACACATACACACCCACACACACAGACACACACATGCGGACCTACGACATACATACATGTACACACCTGTTGAAGCGCACACAAAAACACATGCATGCATGCCTAGACGTACATCGAATCCTAACATACGCATGTGTGTAGGTACAGAGCCCCTCGCAATGCGTAGATGGCCAAGCCTTCCTGCCCCAATGTGACTGTCAGATTTCACCAGGCGACTCTATCGGGTTAAAGGCGTCAAGGATGTCGGCTTTAAAGCTTTACTTTAGAGTCTTTTAGAGTGACGACGAACTGATGTAGATGGGACTGGGCGACATCTTTGAGATTACCATGTCACTTGATGAGCCCATACATAACAAGGCCTGTGGTTTATACTTGGCGTAGGGAGCCAAAACCCTCAACCCCAAACCCTAAACCCTAAACCCCAAACCCGAAACCCTCAACCCCAAACCCTAAACTCTAAACCCTGAGCATTGATACCTACAGCCGCTTAAGTGACGCCTTACGTCCTGCAGCTGTGAAGAAGATGGAGATGGGGGTGACAAAACTCTGCTTCTTTAGGGCCATCAGACTTAAGATCCTGTTTATGAGCTGGTACATTGGGGGCTTTGGGTCTTGGGTTCAGGAGTCCCTTGAAGGCTTAATGACCAGCGTAGCATCCCCCAAAACCGCATTCTGAGTATCAAGGCCACTGTACTGCCTATACTACATTCTGCACCCTCCAAGTTGCTAGGTTGCTAGATGCTCCCATGGAGGCGGAAGGCAAGGCCTTGTTGCTTTACCAGAAGCAACCCCATATCATCCTTTGCGAGGAGCTGTTTGCAGACGCTACCGGCAGCAAAGGCCACTTGAGCGAGGCCGCAAGGGGGTTGTCTTATAACTAGGAGCTGCATTTGGGTCCAGGGTTATTGGGGTTCGCCATAAGGCCGAAATCTTCAACCCTTAAACCCTGAGCCCTAAACCCTAAAGCCCTAAACCCTAGACCCCTAAGCCCTAAACCCTAAGCCCCTAAGCCCTAAACCCTAAACGCTGAACTCTAAGCCTTACACCCGAAACCCTAAACCCTAAGCCCTGAACCCGAAACCCTAAACCTTAAACCCCTAAACCCTAAAGTCCAAACCCTAAACCCAAAGCCCTAAACCCTAAACCCTAAACCTGAAACCCCTAAACCTTAAACCCCTAAACCCTAAACCCCTAAACCCTAAAGTCCAAACCCTAACCCAGAGCCTGTCTTCGAGGCGGCTTTCCTGGCCAAGCTCAAGGAGATCGAGGCCGGGGGTTTAGGGGGTTTAGGGGGTTTAGGGGGTTTAGGGGGTTTAGGGGGTTTAGGGGTTTTTAGGGTGTTTAGGGGGTAGGGGGTTTAGGGTTTAAGGTTTAAGGTTTAATGAAGGGGTTTAGGGTTTGAGTAAGGGGTTTAGGGTTTAGGGTTTAATTAAGGGGTTAAGGGTGTGATTCGCTGTGTTCGTACTTG